AAAAAAAAAAAAAAAAAAAAAAAGTCATACACCTTTTTGACTTCTTGAAAACTGCTTCTTTTAAGAGATTTTCCTCTTGCTCTGATTAAAATGTTAGTCTGTGCGTTTAATACCCTGGGACAGTGAGGCCTAGGAAGACTTTTCATAGAAATCCTTGCAGTTCCTCAAAATCTCTGCTAGTGAGTCAGTGGGTGGGGTGTAGGCAGGTGCAACACTTTCACTGAGACCACTGTGTTGCCAGATTTCTGTGGCTCCATCCTTCTCCAAGAAGGTCCCCAAATTGACGAGGTCAAGTCTCTTTTGTGCTTGTTTTTGTTTTGTTTTTTGTTTTTTGTTTTGAGACAGAGTCTTGCTCTGTAACCCAAGCTGGAGTGGAGTGGCCTGATTTTGGCTCACTGCAACGTCCGCCTCCCTGGTTCAAGTGATTCTCCTGCCACAGCCTCCCCAGTAGCTGGGATTACGGGCGGTTGCCACCATGCCCAGCTAGTTTTTATATTTTTAGTAGAGACGGGGTTTTGCCATGTTGGCCAGGCTGGTCTCGAACTCCTAACCGCAGGTGATCCACCTGCCTCGGCCTCCCAAAGTGCTGGGATTACAGGCGTGAGCTACCATGCCCAGCCGACTAGGTCAAGGGTTAAAGGACACTGCTTTACATACATTTGAAGAGTAACCAGGGTTTCAATTTGTCTCCTAAAATTAAGAACAGATAATAAATAGATTCAGCATCCCTCACGTGGTGTTACTGGCATTTATTCCTTTGCTGTGTTTAGTTAAAAGTCAGCAAGATAGCACAATTGAATGATAATACATTTAGGAGGCTTTTGTGACTGAGGCTGTATCTTCTGACAGTATTAATCTGTATCTCCATATTGTAATATTCTGTCAAAGTCAACTTTTTTCCCTCCGAATGCATGTTTAGTAGTTGATGATTTGGGTAATGCTTGGGTTCTGGAGACCATATTATCTGATGATTTTGGTAATGTTTATCTTCTAGAGAACTTACTATCTCATGTGTGATGTCTCTGGAAGAAAGGGGGAAGGGTAGCAGGTGATGTAAACTCCTCATTCTTGTATTTCCTATTTTAATAAATGGCATCAAGTCTAAGCTAGAAACCTAGGAAGCATCCTTGATTCTTAACTCACCTTCAGGTACTGAATTTGATCAGTTAGCAAGCCTTATTTTTCTGTGCCTGAAGTATCTTTTGAACCTGTTCCCTCTATTCATTG